AGGGAGGAAGCAACTTACCCTCCCTCTTCTCCTGCCTCCTCCTGGCTGAATGAGGGCCGGAAGCGGGGCGGCCGGAAGCAGGGGGTGGGGCTTCGTCATGTGCCCCGCCCCCCGTACCTCACCTGGGGGAACTGCGATCCCCCCCGAAATGACCTCTGGGCACCGCCCGATCTTGTCAGATCTCAGAAGCTAAGCAGGATCAGCACCAGCTAGAATTTGGATGGGAGGGAGACCTCGGAGGAATACTACACAGAGGCCTTGAAACCCCCACCTGGGGTTGCCATACGTCAGCTGTGACTTGACAGCGCTTTCCACCACCAATGGGGGAGATGCTCCAGTGTACCTGATGAAGTGAGCTCTCATTCATGAAAGCTTTTGCTGGAATACATTTTGCTTATTTCGAAGGCACCTCTGGACTCCTACTTTGTTTTGCTGCTCCAGACTAAATCACAGCTACTCATTTGGAGTTATCTCATGGGAGGCTTTGGTTTCCTAGTGAGCCTCCTTGCCTGTCGTCTCTTTCCACAGGCTCTAAATCTCCCCCACGTCATCTTCCGCCAGCAACCACTAGGTATCACTGCCTCCCAGACTTCCCAGGACTCCTGGTTAGTTTTTAAGCTTTCCCCCTTCCAGGCATCTTGTTTCCCTGGAAGCCTGGCAGCTGACCTTTCCTCTAAAATCACAGCTAGATAATCTTCCTCCAAGAGAGATGACAGAGACCAATGCTGGGAGGTATGGGTGTGACTGAACTCCTCATTCAGGAAAGAATAATGCGTAGCCTTGTGACACCTTGAAAACGTAACAGAATTACGTTCCAGCAGAGAAGCTCTCTTGGACCTGCAGCCGGCTTCTTTAAACGTTCTTCTTTGCATCTGAAGAAGTCGCAATAGCTATGCTGGAGTGAAATTTTGTTAGGCTTTGAGGAGCCATAAGACTCTGGTTTGTTTTTGCTGCCACAGAGGAATGTGGCCACCCCTCTGGGGTTAATCAAGGAAGTATCTTCCCCCACCCCCTCTGAAAAAGAAAAGGCAATTTTGACAGATGAGTGATATAGACATACTATTTATTATTATTATTTATTTATTTCAAATTATATCCCGCCTTGCCCGTGCAGCAACTGGCTCAGTATCGCAGCCAACGTGGATCCTGTTTGGCTCCTGAGATATGATGAGGTCAGGCTAGCCTGGGTCGTCCATGCCAGGACCCAGGATGCGCACATAGCCCTTTTTTTTTTTAGTGATACGTAGCAAAGGGGGAGGGGGAGAGACCAACTCTCTTTTTGTCACAAAACTTCCCTGCCTAGTGATAATTCTTCCTTTTTCTTACAGACTTAGGTTGAAGTTTAGCATTAAATAGTGGCTGTAGAGATTGAAACCAGGGTTCCCTAAAGGGTGCGTGCACGCAAAAGCTCATTTGCTTAACTTGCATTAACTTATTTGCCTATGCCACACCCCCTGACATCACCGGAAGTGTGTCAGAAGGCAACACCCACCGCTCAGGCTCCACTGGACTGTTTTGGATCGCTAGCTATGGGGGGAGGGGACAACGTGCAGATCTGTCCTCGCAGAGGAGGGAGAGCTTGTGCCTGAATAAAACTTGGTCTTAAAGGTGCCACTGGACTGAGGGGCTGGGGGGCTGGGGGGAGCTCTGCAACTTACCCGGCTGCTTCTTGCTCTGACTGAGGGCTGCTGGGAGTAGGGGGCGGGGCTTGTTGCATGTGCCCGCCCCCTGGGCTCTTTACTGCCGGAGTGCCGCTCCTGTGCGCTCCTGCAGGAAATGACCCCTGCCTTGAATAAACCTTTGTTGGTCTTAAAGGTGCCACTGGACTCCAAATTTGTTCTGTCCCTGACCTGGATGGGCCAGGCAATCCCAATCTTGTCAGGGTGGGCCTTGGTTAGTACTTGGATGGGAGACCACCAAGGAAGTCCAGGGTTGCTGCACAGAGGCAGGCGGTGGCCAAACCACCACCTCCTGCCTTGAAACCCCTACAGGGTCAGCATAAGTTGGCTGTGACTTGACGGGACTGTGCATGCGCCTCTGTGCTGGTTATGTGTATAGTTCGTAGGCCGACCTAATGATGGCGCTGTTTGGAATGAAACCCTGCCGTGGTCCTTCCTCCCCCCTTAATCGTGCCATTGTGCACTTCCAAGCTAGTGGCCCTCTAAATCTACTTTTGATGTTAACCAGGGCTTTTTTTGTAGAAAAAGCCCAGCAGGAACTCATTAGCATAATAGGCCACACCCAACAGAAGAAACTCATTAGCATATTAAGCCACACCCCTGACACCACAGCTCATTAGCATATTAGCCCACACCCCCATGTTACCACACTCACCTTTTGCTTCTTATTCTGTTTACCTTGTCTTGTCAAAACCCAGGGCCTTTTTTTGTAGCAGGGACATCTTTGCACGTTAGGCCACACACCCCTAATGTAGCCAGTCCTAATGAGTTTCTGCTGTTGGGTGTGGCCTATTATGATAATGAGTTCCTGCTGGGCGTGGCCAACTCGGGAGCCAGCCAGAACTCCGTTCCTGTGCGTTCCTGCCCAAAAATAGCC